TGGGGGATTGTGTGGGCAGGGGATTATGTATGGGTATGCGAAAGGGTGTCACCATGCATGTGGAAGTCAAAGGACTTTGAGGAGTTACTTATTTCCTTCAGCTTTGGGACCCAGTTACCAGGCTAGCATGTGCTCTATGTGCCTAGAGCTATCTTGCTCACTCACAGACACCGGTTTTTAACTTTTGAGTGTAGCTATGCAAGTCTCAGGTAATGAAAGTCTTAACATTGAGCTGCACTCTTAACAGAAGTGAAAGCATAAAGGCACCCATCCAGGCCTTTACAAGGTTGTTTATCAGCCTCAAGAACTGCTTAAAACAGTAATGTGTTAAGACTTAATGACTTGTAATAAAGCTGCTTTTATTATTTGGCAACCAGGTCAGTTCATCTTTACAAATTTCTGGAAGGCTGTTTGTTTGTTTCTTTGTTTTGGTCTTTTTGAGACAGTCTCATGTAATCCAGGCAGGCCTTGAATTTGTAAAGGGCTGGCCAGCTTCCATTCCTGACTCCACTTCTCAAGGGCTAGGATTACAGGGGTAAACCACCACACCTAGCTGGAATGAAATACGTTGAAGCCTAATTGAAAGCAGCCAGAGAAAACAGTTGACAAAGGAAAATAGAACACCCGAACTAATCTAGATAAAATATAAATAAAAACATTCTCAGAAAATTGTGTAAGAGATCACAACAAAAGTGATTACTTGGCAGCTCTCTGCCTACTAGGGAGAGCCATCAGGGCTTCCTGGCTTGGTGAGATGATGCCTGCCCTAGCAGGTATTTATCCTGATGGTATTTGTATCTGTCAGGTCCTACAGTGGGTTTGTAAGAGGGAAAAGAAAAGTCTGCAACAGTTATTAGATAGTAATTCAAGTGAAACTGACTAGAACTTTGGAAATAGTAAGTAATTGCTAAGTGAGCTGAGCTTCAATGCCAGAGGGTAGTGATTAAAACCTTCTGTAAGTTTCTAATGTAGCCAGGCTAAGTGTGATTTTTTTTTTCCAAGGCGTTAAATCTCCACAACTGTCAGCTTTTGGAAAAGTGCCATCCTCTTGTGCATAAAACACACTGCCTTCTGTGAGAACGTGTGTGTGGTGTATGTGTCTGTGTAAGAGAGAGAGAGAGAGAGAATGTACGTGTGTATGTGTCTGTGTAAGAGAGAGAGAGAATGTACGTGTGTGTGTGTGTGTGTGTGTGTGTGTGTGTGTGTGTGTGTGTGTGTGTGCATGCACACCTAAGCATGTATATAGGTGGAGATTCAAGGTATGTCTATGTTAAATGCCTACCAGTGGTCTCTTCTAGTTTCCTGGATTCTACAAGTGCTCCAAGTCAAACACACAGCTAAGGTTGACAGTAGGGTCCACACAGGAGGGAGAACATGTAACATTTATCTTTCTGAGTGTGGGCCTAATGTTTTTCAGTTACATAAATTTACTTACACATTTCATGATTTTATCTTTGAAGCTTTATAGGTACCACATTTTTGTTATTCATTTATCAACTGTTGAACATCTAGGCTGATTCCGTGTCCCAGCTCTTGGAAATAGAGCAATGATGAAAATGGATGGGCATGTATATCTCTGAATAGGCAATGGTCTGTCTAGCTGGGTCTGTTTCTAGTTTTCAGAGGAACTAAACTGATTTACATAGTCAACCCAGCATTTTACATGGTTCTGAGGATCAAAACTCAGGTGCTTGTGCTTGGGAAGCAGGTACTTCACCAACTGAGCCATCTCCCCAGACCCACACTGGGTTTTTTTTTTTTTTTTAACTAAACTTTTCTATCTTCCATCGCTCCATTTTTCATACTTGCCTTCTAGTTTTTGTAGGACAGACAGTGAGAGTACTGAGTCTGTTTTGTCAGTGTGTTTGCAGCCTTAAAGCACTTAAGCTTCTCTGAGTGAACACACTTCCTTTGGAGAGTTGTGGGGCTGCAGCTATCACTGCTTTGGGATGCCGTTGACTCGCTGGTAAATAGTCATGTTATTAGGCTGTGTTTCTTATTTGTTATGCCTTTCATTTTCCTCTCAGTTCATTATTTAGTTATTTCTTCCATTTAACCATCTCATTAATATAATTGTAAGTTGTGTGTTCTTTATGTTACAAGTTTATTTCTTTAGGAATCTTATTACTAATTATGTCATTGTTATTTATTAGCTGTAACCATAAGCAAAAAAGTATTCATTATCAATTTTCCCATCTCTAAAATATGTACAGTAGACTTACTTTCTGCTATAGTTGTGAAGATTAAGTGTGTTCGTGTGTGTGTGTGTCTTGTGTGGGGGGGTTACATATATAATGTACTTAGGACTAGGACTGGTACACATTTTGAAGTGTTTGCTTTTGTGTTTAGTGTATAGATTGAATTTGTCTGCCAATCTAAGCCCTGAGCAAATGACAGTATGATTGAACATGTTTATGTGAAAGGGGGCAATTCAGGGTGCCATTCAGGCATCTGCTAATTGCTGAGAGAAGAATTAGGGGAATTAGAACTTCCCCTAGGGAGGTTCCCTCAATTGGTTATCTAATAGAATGTGATTAGCCCTGAAATCCATACATAAAACAGTAAAGGGACTCAGTAGGTTGAATTTTTATGTTTTTGCATTTACATGTGTATATATAACAGTAATTTAAAAAAAAGGGGGAATAATTTGAGGGGTGTGTGGAAGGAGTGGGAAAGAGAAAATGAGAGCTAGGGTCAGATATCTTGAAATTTTTCTTAGAATTTGTATCTTTATTCTCTTGATACTGTCTTAGCCAAGCTTAAATTTTTAAATTCTGATGATTGTACATTTGGTGACATAACTCACAGGTCATTGCCAAGGCAACAGTGTTTAGATTTTCTTTGTGTTTTATATTTAAGTCTGTGTACACTTTTTCTGGTGGTGATAGAGTGAACACATGTGTGCCATGGCATGCATAAGGGATTACAGGACAACTTGCAGGGTTATTTTTCTCTTTCCACCAGGGATTGAACTCAGGCTATCAGGCTTGGTGGCAAGCCTGAGTCATCTTGTCCATCTGTGGTATATTTTGAGTTAATTTTTGTGACAAGGGTAAGTTCTGTGTTGAGATTAATTTTCTGATGGCTCATTAACCCAGCACCCTTTGTTGAAAAGCCTATCTTTTCTGTTCTCTGTTCATTTTGTTTCTTTTACACCAAACACAGTGGTGTTTATGTGAGCCTTATTTCTGGACTTTCAGCTGTTTCATTCATCATGTTTATGTTTCAGCATTTGTTTTTTAGGTTTTTGAGATAGCCTGGACTGTAAACATATAGGCTAGCCTTAAATTATGACAGTCTTCTTGTTTTACCCTTCCAAATGCTGGGATTACAGTACAAGCTACCCTGCCCAACTCTTACAGTAACCATCTTCATTACTATAAGGTTACCATAACCTGTCTGGGTAGTGGTGGCACATGCCTAATCCCAGTACTTGGAAGGCAGATCTCTGTGAGTTCGGGGCCAGCTTGGTCTACTGAGCTGAGCAAGTTCCAGGACAGGCTCCAAAGCTACAGAGAAACCCTGTCAGAGAGAGAGGGGGAGGGGATGGGGGAGGGGAGGGGAGAGAGGAGATTGCCATAAACCAGTCCTTCCTTTACCTCATGCACAATTGTCTATTATCTACAAAAAAAAAAAAAAAAAAAAAAAAAAAAATCACTGGGATTTTGATTGGAGTTGAATTAAAATTGTAGATTAAGGAGGAACTAACTGACATTCCAACAATATCTTCTCAATGCCTAGACTGTCCCAGTTTAGTTCTTCTTTGGTTTAACATTTTGTCAGTTTCTTGTAGGCCTTCCACATTGGTTAAGTTTAGATCTACATGCCCTGCCCTGGGTGTGCTAATATATGTGGTTTTTTAATTTCAGATATCACGTGTTGGCTGCCACATATGGAATAGTTGGTTTTTATGTGTTAACCTTAATGTGAATGCTCATTGGATCATTTTCTTTATTCTTCAGCTTTACTGCATAGATAGTTGTATTAGTTACAAGACAAAACACTTCCATTCTTTCATTCCCAATCTGTAGATATTTACTCCGTGCACTGGCAATAGTAAGAGGTGCCCTCCTGCCTGTTTCCTAATCTTAATGGGAAACTCCAAATTTGTTACCTTTAAATTTAGTGTTTTAGGGCTCTTTTTTTTTTTAATTTTATTTTTTACTATTCTTTATGAAGCTAAGGAATCATCCCCCTACTAGTATTAATGAGAGTTTTTATCAGGAAGAAGTACTAGGCTTTGCCAAATGGTTTTTCCTCATCTGATATGATTATATGATATTTTGCCTATCCTAATGGTATAAATTAGTTAATATCTGAAAATTGAACCAGTTTTGGATTCCTAGAATAAATTCTGCCTTGGAGTGATATATAATTGTGGTATATAATTCTTTTTTCTAAAGTGTTATATTTGATTACCTACCTAATTATTTTCTTCAGCATTAAGATGTTTGCTTTATAGAATGCATTAGTTTTGTAAAAATAGAAGGTTGTTATTTCTTAAATGTTCAGCAGAATTTGCCATTGAATCCATCTGAAGTTGGTGCTTTCTGTTCTAAAGGGTTATTAGTTATTGATTCAGTTTTTACAGATAAGGCCTATTAGAATTTTCTCTGTTCTTAAGCTTCTGTACATAGTGTTTCAGACAATTGGTGTGTTTCATCTAGTGGATGAAATTATAGGCATAGTACTCTTATTATGTTTTAATGTCAATACAAGTGCAGCTACCAGTGATGCAGTCCCTCAGATATGGTTTCTTTTGCTCCCACTGCTAGAAGCACAGGGAGTTTTCCTCTAATGTTTGCCCTGAGGAAGTGGAAATCCGAAATGATAAACCCCACCTCTGACTGGGTCCTCTTAGAGTTTCCTTTCCACTTAACCTACTCCGAATCTCTCGTATACAATTTGAGATATGAGAGCTATCTTGGATGTGAGGCTGTTGATGCACTGTGAATAAGAGCTTACTGGTTGACACTGTTCCTATCACCCCTTCTCTGCAGGTGCACTGACAGAGTGCTATGATGAGCTGGGGAACCGGTACCAGCTGCCAGTCTATTGCTTGGCACCACCAATCAACATGATAGAGGAAAAGAGTGACATTGAAACTCTGGATATCCCTGAGCCACCTCCCAATTCTGGACACGAATCTCAGCTCCGTCTGCGCCTCTCCACAGGCAAAGACCTCAAGCTTGTGGTGCGCAGTACAGATACGGTGTTCCACATGAAGAGGCGCTTACACGCCACCGAGGGGGTAGAGCCGAGCAGCCAGCGCTGGTTCTTCTCTGGCAGGCCTCTCACTGATAAAATGAAGCTGGAGGAGCTGAAGATCCCAAGGGACTATGTGGTGCAGGTTATCGTGAGCCAGCCTGTGCAAAACCCAACCCCCGTGGAGAACTGAGCTGGGCTTGCCTGCTTCCCAGATCCTCAGCTCCTTTTTATTATCATTTCCTACTCTATGGCGTGAAATTTATTTTCACTGCTCTGAATTCCCTATGAATGGATTTAGTTCTGAGGAATTACCAGTGAAAAATTCCATCTGTGATGGAGACCAACAAAAATAATAAAACACACAGAGCCAGACTCTGGAACTCCTGTAATTACAATTTCTAATTTGAGAGGCAGTTAAGAAATAGATAACCATTTATTTTAAAACATTTATCAACTATGTAATGGCTGTATTTAAATGATTTGGAGTGTAAACAGACACCAGACCCATCAAGAACAGCACCAAGCACCTTTTGGATAGAGAATTTTATAAAACATTTGTCAAGTTATATTTCCATAACCATCAATAATAGTTATAGGTCAGGTGGTGGTGGTGGTGCAGAGGTAGGCCGATCTCTGTGAATTTGAGGTCAGCCTGGTCTACAAAGCTACACAGAGAAAACCCTGTCTTCAAAAAACCAAAATAATAATAATAACAGTTACAAAACTTTTTTTTTCTTTTTTGTTTCTCTTCTGGGTTTATTCATATTTCACCAGAAAGCAGTGGAGACTGGGAGTTGCCAGTGTTGCCTCCCCTCCCCTAAGTCATGCTCCTCATTCACATTCACTCAGTTCTGCTGCTGTCCAACACGGACAGCAGGCACCTTCTGGAACACTAGACAATAATTTAGTAAGTAGTCAGAGTTCTCATTCTCCATTGAGAGCTTGTCATGCTGCATAGTAGTTCTAAAATGACTGTGATACCCAGACCAGGCACCATGGGAATGGAGTACAGCTGCTCACACTCCAGAATAAAAAGCAACCCTGTCTTCCCCACCTTGCAGGAAATGTAAGTTAAACCTCTCTGCCTGTTCCTGGGAAAACTGCCTATTCTCAGCCCTGGAGAAAACTCCCAACTGGAAATTTTCAAGTGTGAAGGTTTGCAGTGTCTCTTAAACAATACTGGTGAGAACTAATGGTGGCATCAGGCCCTAGACCTGAGTGCTCTTCACTCCACTCTGACTGTAGTCATTGTGGATGGCAGTGTTCCTCCTGTACATTTCCCACAAAGAGGTGAATCAACTACCATCTGTACATGAGGCTGAGGGACTGGAACACAGTGAGCCAGCCTTACCTCCTCTGGAGAAGGCTAGAGAAAGCTGCCAAGGGTTGTATTTAATCTGGAGCCTCTTAAAAGCCGATTCCGCCAGGCATGGTGGTGCATGCATTTAATCCCAGGCCTTGGGAACAGAAAGAAGTAGGCAGATCTCAGAATTTGAGACCAGTTTGGAATACAAAGGTAGTTTTAGGCCACTTGGAGCTGCATAGTGAGACCCTGTCTCAAAAAAAAAAAAAAAAGTTGATTCCATGAGAAGGGGACTAATGTGACCACACTATATCTTTGAAAATCTGTGAGCTGTGAACAGTAGATGAAAGAGGCCTCTGTGTTCTAAATAAGGAAACACCAAACCTTCAACACCTATTTGGATGGTAAAACACCATAATTTAGTGGCAAGATGAAACTAAGTAGTTTAAAATGTAATGTTTAAAGTGGTGTTAAACTTCCTATAGCCTGTTTAAATATATCTATAATTGTAACTTATGTTTCTGAAAACTTTTAACCACTTCCCTAATTCTGTTCATTTTAAAGCTTGTGACTGCTAATTTAGACTTGATGGTGATTGAGTCTAAATTCAGGAGAAGCACACAGCTTTAACAACAATGAAGGTGCTCACACTCCTGTGTGGAGGCTCCAGGGCAGCTCAGTGTTTTGGCCTACCACCAAGAGGGTTGATTCACTTGTTAATGCTGAGAAACAATATCTCAAAGTCCATCAACTGGAGTAGAATGTTTAAACCAATTATTTTTCTAAAGGAAATTTGATGCTGTCACCAATAGCCTGTTTGGTAAAAGGTATTGTTTGTTTCTTGAGGGTTGACCTCTCTTAAGAGTTTTTTATTTTAAAGGAACATATACTTTGAATAACGATCCTCCAGGACTGTTTAACCTAGGTGAGAAAAAAAAATGGTGCTGGTAATTGTCAATAGACTGATGTAAGATTGGATCAATACTTGATGTGTATAATTTTAGTATGTAGGAGTTTTGTGCTTTTTTTAAAAAAAAATATTCAACTTTTCTGTTTGTCTTTGCCTTTATTCTGAGTTTGTTTGGGGGGGGTGGTTTTGGGGACAATATTTTTCTGTGTAACTGTTGCTGTCCTGGAACTAACTGTAGACCAGGCTGACCTTGAACTCAACAGAGATCTACTTGCCTCTGCCTCCTGAGGGCTGGGATTAAGGCATGCCCACCACTGCCCAGCTATTCTGGGCTTCTAACTATTCCTCCGTACAATGGCAGACTCTCGCATACTATGGGGAAGAGGTTTCTAGGAAGAAACCTCTAAAGCCAGTAGTGAAATCATGACCACCAAACTTAAGCTCTGCTACAGCGCATATTGCAGGTCACTTAGAGCTGTGCCTCATCAGCATTGCAGTGTTGGTCTAGAATAGGTTGACCAGGACCAGAAAGGTGACTCAGCCAGTGTTGCTTACATGCTGCTGAGGCAATACAATCTGAGTCTCACCAGGTGTGCTTGCACACACCTCTAATCCCAGCACTGGGTAGAGAGAAACTCAGTTGGAGTGCAGCTTGGTCTGCCTAGAGTGTTCCCAGCCTGCCAGGTCTACTTGAGTTCCTGTCTTTCACAACAAAATCTGTTGAGCTTTTATGATCTCTGGGTTCCTTTGAAGGGCCTTTTCATTTGGCAGGATACCGCCTTTTGTTTAGGTTTTTTCTCACAACTTTATTATCTGGAGTGAAAATAACAGAACAAAACAGTGACCCCTTTTCCTGAAGATACTTGGTAATTTTTGTCTGTCTTTCTCTGTGGTGGGGGAAGGTAGACCTCCCAGCAAATGGGCATCACTCAGCTGGTTGAATCCTGTGATGCATTTTACATAGAAAAGGAATTCAGCTGATAGTATCTTCCCAGACAGCTCTTGTCCTGTGACTGTTCTTGGGGTCTCTTGTGATGTGGCCTGATTGCCTGTCATCTCTAGTTCTGTGGCAAGAGCCTGGGTGACTTTATCAGAGGTTGGACAGTTGACTTGGCCTTGCCTAGTCTGAGGCTTGAGGCCTAGGAGATGTATGATCCAAGCACTGTGGGAAGAGATGACCACTTTGCTTACTTATTGCCCTCTCAAGTTCCTTCCTGCTGACAGTGGTGTGGAAGAATCTGCCTGTGGCCTGGTCTGGAACCTTCCCTAGGCCAGTGTCTCTCCCCATTACCTGTGCACTAGAACACGTGTATAACCAGGAACATGCAATGCAGTATGAACAAAACTGCAGACTGGAAAGTGTTGACACACACAGAATGGAACCCAGGACCTCACATATGTCGTCACACTCTTATTGCTGAATCGAATACCAGGACTCTATGTAGTCATTTTTAAAACTGTCACTGGGGGAGGGGGTAGGACTGGAGAGATGGACCTATATTTGATCCCCAGCACCAGCATGGCAGCTCATAACTCTCCATATCTCCAGTTTCAATGCCCTTTTCTGACCTCTGAGGGCAGCAGACACCCACATGATGGACAGACATAAGCAAAATATGCACGTGAAATGAAGTAAATGTAAAAACGTCCTAAAGCAAAACAGTCTTGGTTAGTTTCTTGTATGTCTAGTCCCAGCACAGTATCAAGTTTACTGATTTGTTTAAATTTAAATTTTTGCACAGGATCTCATTTATCAAATGATTCCTGATACTCCTCTAGAACTGCCAAGAGTTTCCACTGTGAAGCCCAGGATGCTCTTCCAGTCCTCCTGCTGCAGCCTGTGGGTGCTGCAAACACATGTGCCGCTGACCCATAGGGGCCTCCAGTTGATGAAGATGCTTCGAAAAATCTGATGGGATGTAGGGTGGCGGTGGTACAGCACCTTTAACTTCAGCACTTAGGAGGCAGAGGCAGGAGATCTCTGTGAGTTCAAGGCCAGACACCAAGCTACACAGAGAAACCCTGTCTCAAAAAACTAAATCCAATGTTCTGTTCATTATACCTTTACAGTGCCCTTGTGTCCCATGGGGGAAAGGACAGGATAATTACCTGATCTCTTCAGCTTCCCAACCCCACCCCTGTCCTGAGTAAAGAACTTAGTACTGCATTTGCTCCAGGAGCTATTTACCCTTCTTACAGCTCAAGACCATCTCTGGGAACAGAGACCTCTGAAGTGTCTTCCCAGAGAATCACACCTATTCCCTGAAGTTGCTGCCTGAGAAAAGCCACCTACGCTGCCTCAAAAGTAAGCAGACCCTATAAAGACCAGTTCAGTGGTGAGGCACTTTGGCTTGGCCTTTCTCTAGATGGCCATTTTTTTCACTTTGTAGTTCCTGTCTGCATGGTTTTCCAGTGCAAATACTAGTAATCGCAGACTCCGGGGACCTAAGGAGTAATGGGAGATGCTTGCAATTCCCTCAAAGCGGTGCCTTTCTCTCTATAGAGAGGACTGAAGGTGCTGGTGGGACATCTCAGTGGTTAGAAGCACTGGCTGCTCTTTCAGAGGACCCAGGTCCAATTCCCAGCACTCACATGGCAGCTCACAACGGGGACCTGTCACACATGGTAAAATACCAATGCACATTAAAAAAAAAAATTGAAGTGACCAGTTCTATCTGGAATTTGGTTTGGTTTTGCTGGCCCAATTCTTACTGTGCTATGACACCATGGGAAGGAAGTCTTTATGACCACTTGCATTAATCATGCTCAGAAGTTTGTAAGCCAAATCTCCCATTTGTTCATGATGTTTCACAATAATGGGTTTCATAATCCCCAGTCTGACTTGCAGATAAGGATCTTAGATAAATGGTACTCTGGTCCATTGGTAGAAGGGAATCTGAGCATGGCTCTGGCAGGCCTTGCCCTTCCCCCATTTCCTCTGCCTTGCAGAAAACCCTTAGATTACATTCCTAAGGTCTGTTCCCTTAGTTGGTCACTTCTTTTTGAAGCTGAGTACCAAGGTCCAGCTATCAAAGTATTAAATAATAAAGTCCAGCAATCAAAAGCCCCCTTTGGCTGTCCTAATTAACATGCCTAGTCAAAATTAAATACCTCATCCTAACATGGGGTTCCCCTTGCTTGATCAACCAGCCATTTGCTTATGTGACATGTCTGTCTCCTCTCTATCCAGAGGTAGCCATGTCGCCTGGGACAAATACACCTTACTCCTCTCCCTTGTTCCCTTCCCCTTCTCCCTCGTCCTCTGTCTCCTGTCTTTGTCTCTTTTGTTGCCCTCTGTCCCTCTGGGGCAAATAAATCTTTGTGCTGAGAACTTTGTCTTGGTGTGTCTTAAACAGATACCAGTCCATTAGTGGCACAATCAGGTTTGGTTATGGTATTAAGTATCATATCAGTTGTATTGGTGATCCTCAAACTCGTTGGTTGCCTTGAGGTCAGTTAGAATCCTTAAATCATGGGTGTATGTTATAAATGATGTTTTTTCAGTCTTCAACCGTGTTCCTCAGAAACCCACAGAAGTGTAGTGATAAAACATTAAACAGGAGGGATTTCTGAGCCAGTTGAATTCATTAGCTTAAAAAGTCTGGCCTGGTGGACCACTCCTGATCTCAGCATCCAGCACATAGGTGCAGAGGCAGGAGCTTCATAGGTTGGAGGCCAGCCTGGTCTGCAAAGAGGGACCCTGTCTCACCAAAACCTCTCCAAACACAAAAGCAATCTGCCTGGGCTAGAGAGATGGCTCAGTGGATAAGAGAACTGGCTGCTCTTCCAGGGGACCTGAGTTCAATTCCCAGCACCCACATAGCAGCTCACAACTGTAACTTCAAGATCCAATGCCCTCAGACATGCACACAGGTGAAACTAATAAAATAAAAATACAATCTGCCAAAGGTCCAGCGGGCTTAGACCCCAGGCTGTGACTACTGACATCCTGATTCTACCACTTGTGAGACATATTTGATTAAGTTTCTTAATTTCTCTGAGACTCAGTTTCCTCTTTTGCAAACAAAATAGTCCCAACTAGATGACAGGATTAAAGGCATAAATTGTCTTAAATCACTGCCTCGCCTGCACCAAGCACATGATTGAGATGAAGGCTGCCAGGGTATGATTTAAGCCAATAGAAAGTTTTTATTAGCCAGCAGAGACTACACTGGGTGTTCAGAAGTCTTTCTCAGGGAGAACTTTTAAGCAAAACAAAAAAAAAAAAAAAAAAAAACAAACAAACAAAAAAAAAAAAAAAAAAAAAAAAAACATGTTCTGGGTTGACATACTTCAGTTAAGAACAGCCAGAAACAGAATTACAACAGCCAACAAGGGTTAGTACATTTAGAGACTTTACCAGAACTATAAGCTTTGATAGATTAGGTCTTTGTTTTTGTTTTTGGCTGGTGGTGGTGTCTGCAGTCAGAGTTTTACAGCCCAAATGGCACTTCCATCATGAAGTCAGTCGTGCTAATGTCTGGGGCTCTGTCACAGTTGCTTTAATGATGATAATAGTCCCTTGGGGTGGGGGTGGGGAGTTCACAAATCTCATGCCAAAGAATTTTTAAATCAAGGTACGCCCTGGCTGTCTTGGAACTCGCTGTGTAGATGAGACTGCCCTCATATTCACAGAGATCCTCCTGCCTCTGACCTCTAAGTGCTGGGATTAAAGGTGAAAACCACTTTTCCAGGTTCATGAAAAATTAAAATAGAACAGGGGCACATGCTAATATTTTGCCCTAGTAAGTTTTATTCTGTTTTCTAAGCTCTTTATATGTTGGAGTAATTCAGGCTCTACGGAACACATATCCTGAGCTGGCACAGTGACATACTCCTGCAGTCCAAGTTAAAACAAGATGGAGGCAGGAGGATCATTGGACAGTGAGTCTCAATGAAACAGTCTCAAAGAAAAAAAGGCAGCTTCCATATCCTTTGAAGTTAACCTTGTTACCATTGGCCCACTGGAGTTTGGCATCCAGGGGGACACTTAGCCTAGAAAGGATCCCAAGAGCATTGGACCACTGGCAAAGAGTGGGAACAAGTCATTTCCTTCAACTGCTGGGCTCCATAAGTCAAGTATCTGTGAGCATGACCTGCTAAAAAGCAGAAGCAAAACGACCACATGGACAGAATGGCTGCTTGGGGACAGAAGTATGACTCAGGTATAGAAACCTGTTTTCATAGCTGAGCATGGAAGTATACACCTTGTAATCCCAGCACTTGGGGGATGGAAGTAGGAGCATCAGGACCTCGAGGTCATCTTAACTATATAGTAAGTTTGAGGCCAGCCTGGGCTACCTGAGATTCTGTCTCAAAAAAATTAAAAGACAATGGGTATGAATGGCACTCAGGGACAGATCTCTGTGAGTTTGAGGCCAGCCTGATCTATATAGCCAGTTCCAGGACAGCCAGGACTGCACTGTGAAACCTCCTCAATGAATAAATAAATATGAACAATGCATACATGCAGACATACATACATATGCATACACACTTGTTCATGCATACATAAAATAAAGATGTACTTTGGTGCACTACTTTATGTGGCCATGTTAATTTTAATTAGTCATGCTCACTTCCATATCAAAGGAGACTCCGACTCCTCTGGCTTAACCCAGTCGAAAATATCTTCCTCAGATGCTGATACTTCTCTTTATCTTTCCCTTTCTCTCTCTCTCTCTCTTCCTCTCTTTCTTTCCTCCTTTTTTTCCTGTCTGTGGATTTGTCAGTGCAGAAGATTGTGTACAGCTTAAATTCCTTGTAATTAAGCAGCTTTTATTGGGGGAGGGGAGGAGAAGAAACAATGTTATTCTGGACTCTTGGGAACTTAGAGGCATAGGAGTTAGGACAGTTACCAACTGACTTGGGACCTGGTACCCAGGAACAGTAAGTCTGTTGCAAAGCATCATGGGAGCAGCATCACCTTCTGGTGTTACCATATCCTCCTCCCACTGTGGTCACCTGCTTCCCTTTACACAGGCAGAAGTTGCCATCCTCCCTGGAGCTTTTTCAGGATTTTTCTCACTTGGTTCTGTCATTGAATTCCTTCCCTTCTGCTTATTCCAACCTATAGACGCTCCCCTGACCACCATGTTATCACCACCTTAGTCTGCCTCCTAGAAGCCTCTATACTCTATGTCTGCTTAGCCAGTCCTTTCTCTGCCAGGGCCTATTTGTCTCAGTTCTTTTCCCAGTCCCAGGCTATTGCCAGCCTCCTCCACACCATCCCACCTCTGGTGCAGGACATGGCCCTCTGCCCCACAATTCACAAATCTGCACTTACTCGGTCACCTGTGATGTCAAAGTCATGGAAAAGCTCTCGGAGTTCTTGCTTTTTAATATTGAAGAGAAATCTGTACATTTCGAAATTGGATGCACCTATTCTCAACTCCCCATCCAAGTCGAGCAGGTCAAAAACCGGCCGGGAATGGCGGTACATAAACTGTTCTTCTAGATGGTTCTATTTGGAGAGAAATGTGTGAGAATATTGGTGCTACCCTTTAAGGGTGTTACACCAAGATTTATGTAGTTGGGGGCTGGAGAGATGACTCAGAAATTAAGAGCATTGGTCGTTCTTTCAGAGGTCCTGAGTTCAAATCCCAGCATCTACATGGTGGCTCACAGCCATCCATAATGAGATCTGGTGCCCTCTTCTGGTCTGCAGGCATACATTTAGACAGAACACTGTATGCAAATAAATAAATCTTTAAAAAAAAATTATATAGTTACCAGCCATTCCCTAGAGAGCTCAGAGCAAAAAGCAAACTCCCAAACTTGAGGAAGGGCTTTGTGAAGAGGCACAAGGTCCACATGACTCACCAAGTTCAAGGGGACCCTTCTGTGGCAATCAGTTCTGCTTGAAAAACCATTCTCGCTACCTCAATGCACTGAAGATCTTGGGAAATTCTGCCCTTGGTACTCACACAAATCCCTTTCCTCAAGGAACAAAAGCTAGCGAATGCACAGCTAGTGGGTGGGTTCCGGAGAACAACGTTCCCCTTCCCTTTCTGTCAGCCTCAATAGAAAATTCTCTGAACCTAAGGACCAGGGCAGGAGTGAGAGAAGCAGTTGAGATGGGTGGTGACACTTTGAAATTCATCAGCCCAGACAGACGGTGGCTATGCTCCCCTTTAATCCCAGCAAGAGAGGCAGAGGCAGGTGGATCTCTGTGAGTTTGAGGCCAGCCTGGTCTACAGAGGGAGTTCCAGGACAGGCTCTAAAGCTATACAGAGAAACCGTCTCAAAAAACCAAAACCAAAACAAAACCCTGTCTCGAAAAACAAAAAACAAAAAACTCATCAGCCTGGAGGACAGGCAGGCCAAGATAGGTGGACAGTTGGGCAGAGGCAGCATTTTTCTGGCAAGGAGGAGGCAGTGTGGGATGGCTGGAGATGAGTGGAAGCTGCAGAGAGAAGCTGGGAAGGTGCTAGAATGTCCAGGTTGATTCAGGAACCAATAGTGAATTTCCCATTCTATTTCCCATTTGTGGTGATGGAAAAGTGTTCCCCTGTGCTCTTCAGTGTCAGTTGTATCAAGACTGGGGACAGCCCAGCCCTTTCTCTCCTGCCCACCCCCATCAACTCAGGTACTCACCTGATGTGACAGCACTATACAAACCAACACATAGAACTGGTCAAAACCAATCTCTCCCACGGCCGTCCAGTCCAGCATGTCAAATAACATCTTGATCTGTGTGATTTTCATGTTAGTCACGTGGTGGAGGAAATGGAAAAACAGCACATCTGAGAGAGAGAGGACCAGATGGATTGTTCTAGAACAGTCCCAAAATGCTAAATCAGGAGCCACATAAAAATGCAGAAGGGATGGAAGATTACTATGCTGAGAAGAATGACAATATTTGGTTTCTGGCTTCACACTGAACCTTCCACAATTCCTCAGGCCTTTAATTGCCCTTGCTGTGGAGAGGCAGTGTGTGAAGTTATGGAAGCTGTGTGACCAGTTGACATACATGCCCAGAAAACATGGTAGTGGTCATTGCTTACCTCCTGACTCCAGTTAAAGACGATGTCCCACATATTGCTAATGACACACAGAAAAGATGCTGATGAATGAGGTGCTCTTTTTCAAGGAAAGAGAGCTTCCTTCTTACTTTGTTAAAGATGTTAACATTTGGGTGGGAGAGGTGGCTCTGCCAGTAAAAACACCTGTCGTGCAAGCCTGGAGACCTGCGTTTGATCCCCAGAATCTATGTAAAAGTACAAGGAGAGCCTGAACTCCCCAGAGTTGCCATTTGACTTTCCCATGCACACATGTGCACAGATAACCACATAAAATATTTTTTCAAAGATCCTGATGTTTTCCTCCACCTTTCCCATGAGTTCTTTTATCAGAATGGGAACTTTAAAAATCATTCCTCTCTCTGAGAGAGTTCCTAGAGTTTTCCATGCTTACTCAGAGCAAAGGCTTCTGGCTGTGGAGGGAGGGAGCCTTCCCTATGTTAAGCACCTTTGAATGCAAACCCTGAGAATCCTACACGGAAGGTGGCATACCCCATTGCCAGCACATCAGCTGCTTAAGGATCTTGTCCACTGCAATTCCTGCTTCAGGGAATATGGCGTGGGACAGACTCGCATTGCACACAGCTCCAATTTGATATGCTGCCGCATATGGGTCCTGGAACTTGCTCTGTAGACCAGGCTGGCCTCAACCTCACTGAAATCTACTGCCACTGTCTCCCAAGTGCTGGGTTTAAAGGTATGGGTGCCTGGCGGGTCTTCACTTTCAAGTGGCAGAGTTGGGGCTCAGGTGTGGGTCATCCCAGCTGCAGCTGTGCATTTATTACTATGGAGACACATCTTTTGTGCATTAGTTAGCACACATTCAACCAGAAATGTCCAGGGAAAGTACTGTAATTTAAAGAACAGGAAGGTTCTTGTCATCCCACTTACCAACTATTACAGCCAGAATAAAACCGGAGCAGTACAGTGATGGTTTGTGACCTGGAAGTGTAAGTCAAATAAGCCTTTTTCTTTTTCAGTTGAAAAATGAACCATGAGTGGCAGACACAGGAGCATACACCTGCATTCCATTTATTTCTGTTTTCTCTTTTATAATGTGTCTGTGGTTGCATATCTGTTATTTCAGTTTTTCCAGAAGCAAAATTGAAATTTTAAATGAAAATTAAGCAGGATAGCAGTGATGCACACCTTTAATCTCAACACTTTTGAGGCAGATCTCAGTGAGTTCAAGGCCAGCCTGGTCTACCAATCAAGTCCCAGGACAGCTAAGGTACACAGAGAAACCCTGTCTCAGAAAAGCAAAAAGAAAAAAAAAAAAAAAAAGAAAGAAAGAAAGAAAAACAAACAAAAAATGGGGCTGGAGAAATAGCTCAGTGAGCTCTTCTCACTGGAAGAGCTGGAAAACGAGAATAGGCTCCTTTTCCAGAGGTCTCAAGTTCAATTCCCAGCACCCACATGTTGGCTCACAACCATCTGTAATAGGATCTGATTCTCTCTTCCGGCATGCATGAAAACACGTCCCTTTACATTAAATAAATATTTTTTAAAAAGACCAAAAATAATCTAGCTATGGGATTTTCAAGTGTGATTTTATATGTATAGTTTGCCCTCTGTTGTTGTTGTTTGGTTTTTTGGCTTTTTTGTTTGTTTGTTTGTTTGGTTGGTTGGTTAGTTGGCTTTGTTTTGCTTTGCTGTTCATATGGGGTCTTACTGATGGCTGGCCTGGAACTTTATATAGAAGTCCATACTGGACTCAGATTAGCAGCCATCCTGCTCAGCTTCCCCTTTGCCTCTGGGCTACCAAAGCTTTCTCTAGACCTGGGAGTGGCGGTCTATGCCAAAAATCTCAGCATTCAGGAGGCTGTGGCAGAAGGACCCATACCAGTGCAAGCCCAGCTTGATCTACAGAGTCAGACTCTGTCTCAAAACACAAATGGGCTGGAGAGATGACTTAGCAGCTAAGAGCACTGGCTCTTCTTTCAGAGGATCCCAGTTCAATTCCCAGCACCCACATAGTGGCTCACAATTGTTTATAACTCCACTTCCAGGGGATCCGATGTCCTCTTTTCTGGCCTTCACAGGTACAGGGCACAAAAGTGGTTAGTATACAGACATTACAGACATACATGCAGCCAAACATTAATAAAACACTTTTGAAATTTTTGGGGGGTTTTTGGTTTTTCAAGACAGGGTTTCTCTGTGTAGTCCTGGCTATCCTGGAACTTGCTTAGTAGACCAGACTGCCCTCAAACTCACTGAGATCCTCCTCCCAAGTACAGGAATTAAAGGTGTGCACCATTACTGCCTGGCTTGAAAATGATTTAAAGGAAGACAAAAAAACAAAACAAAACAAAAACCTACCTCTGGGCTCCACTAAGTTTATAAAACACTTGGTCAATGTCATTTGGAATCCCAAATGGAAGCAGGGGGGGGGGGGTACAATGAGCCTATGGTCACAATGTCAGCTTTGGCCTAGTGGCCACTTGGCGGATCCCTCTGTGTGCTCCATCAGGTGTGAACACTCAGAGCAATATACTGTATCCATACAGGGATGGCAGGATGCTCCTGGAGGTTGTCCTGTGGGACCTTGTAGCTATGGAATCAATGCTGTTTTGCAGCAAGATGACTCTGGTCGGTCACCCAAGTCCCCAAGGCCTTTAATTGTTCTCCCAGGAAGCAAACCATGAATCTGTGCTGTCCCTCTTTCAGGGCACTGTCCCTACCCTTGGCGATCAGATAGCAGGCTTGGACCTCCTGGGTATTGTGTCATTGGGGGATTATCTGGTTGCTAGGGAGATGAGACTCTGTTCCACAAATGTCCCAGGGAGACAGTGTAGCTTAGCTTTGCAAGGGACAGCTTGGTGCCCTGCAGCTGTCTTATCTTGGGGGGGGGGAACTGTTATTGCATTTCATGACAACCTGTGTGTGTACAGAAGAAAGCACAACGTGACAGTGTGACAGTGTGAGGAAGCACAGAGTTATCTTCAGTTCGCTGTTTTTGTTTCATTGTTTGGTGCTGGGGCCTGAGATCATGCTAAATATGTCTGCTACTGAGCTACAGCCCCTCGCTTGTTAGTGTTTGTCCCTTAAGACAAGAATCCAAGAGCACACATCTAACCTCAGCATTCAGGAGGCAGAGGTAGAAGGATCTCTTGTGAGTGCCAAGCTAGGCAAAGATAGTGATCCCTGTCTCAAAAAACAAACACAAACAAACAAACAAACAAAAACCCCTTTTGAGTGTTCTTTCTTCACAGTGACATTTTCTTCTGTGAGGTGAGAGTGATAGTTGGATTGATCCAAAATCTTACTTATACTGAGGCTTAAAAAGAATCTAGGCTGTTTCACCTGGCCTTCTGTTTTGGTGACACAGCTAATGGACATTTTTGGTAACTGACAAACACTATTAGATACAGACAACCATGGTTAAAATCAGTGAGTACCAAAGCAAAACAAACTGGCACAAATGTGGGAAAGGACTCTGGGGTGGGGAAGGTGACACAGGGTGAGACATACATGACAGGGTAAAAGAAAAAAATCGAGGCTCAAGGAGGAGATGGCATGCTCATCAAATCACCAAGGAATTGTGGGTAGAGCCTGACCCCAGAGCCCCTGATTTCATCCTCTGCTCAGGGCTCCCGTGACAAGATGAAATAAACATTAGGAGGTGGTTTGGGGCTCTGTGCAGGAAAGAACTGACCATTCAAGGTATTCCTTCGGTGTGCGTCCAGAAGGTGAAAATACTCCATCAAGGCCTTCACATTTCTCAAAGACAACAAGCAGTAAATTTTGTCCAGGTAAAGGTACCACAAAAAAGACCCTTGCTTCAGTTTCATCTCAGCAGCTTTCTGCTAGAGGCCCTGGCAACCTGACAATGGAATGGAGAATTCCGCCCTAGAACTAGAATGTGGACAGGTCCTGGAGATGACCTGGAAGGCCTGGAGGGAACATAAGAGTGAGTGAAATGGCTTCTCACTGTTCTCTGGCTTTGATGTGGATGTTTCCTATTTGACATCTAGACCAGGAGGGGCCACTTGATCCCAGTGCCAAAGCAGCTCTCCGGGGCCACCCTGGACAATATGTGCTTATTAGGAAGGAAAATGGAAACACACAAGAATACTAAGAGAGGAGCTGGGCAGTGGTGGTGGTGCACACCTTTAATCCCAGCACTCCGGAGGCAAAGGCAGGCAGATCTTTGTGAGTTTGAGCCCAGCCTGGTCTAATGAGCGAGTCCCAGGACAGTCTCCAAAGCTATAAGAGAAACCCTGTCTCAAAAAACAAACAAACAAAAGGTACAGAGAGAGCCTCAAACAAGTATACTAATATAAAGCCAAAGGGAAGGCATTTATGTCTGCATAAATGTTTAGGTTACATAATATATAGATAGTATACTTGTTATACATACATACATAACATACACTCATATGGAGAGAGATGTTTCACTATCAACATCCTAACCCTCCTGGGGCTCACTACATAGACCAGGCTGATCTTGAATTCACAGAAATCTGCCTGCCTCTGCCAACCAAATGCTGGGATTAAAGGCATGTGCCACTACCACCTTGCTATAACGGTTTTTTGTTTTGTTTTGTTTTGTTTGAGACAGGGTTTCTCTGTGTAGCTTTGGAGAATGTCCTGGAACTCACTCTGTAGATCAGGCTGGGCTCAAACTCACAGAGATCTGCCTGTCTCTGCCTTCCGAGAACTGGGATTAAAGGTGTGCACCACCACCGCCGCCACCACCGCCGCCACCACCACCACCACCACCAGGCTGTTTGTCTTTTGAGAGAAGGTGTAACCCTGGCTGGATTGGAACTTTGTAGTCAGCCTGGCCTTGAACTCAAGTTCTGCCTGTCTCTGCCTCCCAAGTGCTGAGATTAAAGGTCTGTGCCACTATGTCTTGGCTATTTTTTGGTTTTTGAGACAAGTTCTTGCTGTACCTCAGGCTGCCTGGAATTCACTGTGTGACTCAGGCTTTGCTTCCTGGATGCTGGGATTACAGGAGAACACCATCATGACTGCATGCTTGTTAAATTGTATATGGATGGGAGTGATCATAAGGAAATGTAGACCCAAAGAAACAGTGTGCCTGTGTGGTCTTTAGGCTTGGTGAAGAATGGAAGCTCATCTGTAGGGTGTGTGGCTAGAGAACAGAAAGGATTACCTAATGGTTGTAAGGGCTCAGTTGAGTCGATTCTCACTCAGCCTTTATCCTTTTAAATATCCTATTAAAGCCTTTATCCTTTCCTTCAAGGACAGGGAAGGGACCCATTGGATGAAGGTTGACAGAGTAACATATTTTGAGGTCATATGTCCTGAGCTCCATCATTGCTATACAAAGACTCTGACACCATGTGTTTGCATCAGCTTTATCCATAATAACCAGATGGATAGAACCCAACACCAACTGCCCCCTCAGCAGTTGAATGTATTAATGGTGATGGTAATCCATACAGTAGAATACTGCCTGACAATGAGGATTAATGAGTCAACATTATGAATCTCAGAAATATGCTGGGTTATAAGAAGCTAAACACAGACTGGTGTATGGCTCATGACTGAGCATTTTAATCTCCAGCACGAGGGGAGAGGGTAAAGTTTGCAAGGAATGGGAATGAGAATTGCCTGAGGAAGCAATGGAGATGTTTTCTACCCTGACTGTGGCAACAGCCCTGTCTTGGCAAAACTCAGTGAGCAGCGAGCCTTAAGGGGTGCATTTCTATTTAACATAGATTAAATGTCAATGAACTTGATTGTTGTTCTTTTAAGACTGCATTTCTCTGTGTAGCCCTGCCTAGTCTGGAACTCGCTAAGTAGACCAGGCTGGACTTGAACTTAGAGATTCACCTGCTTCTGCATTGCTGGAACTAAGGGCATGCCCCACCATGCATGGCTTACATTGTTTTCTTTTCTTTTTTTTTAATGTTTATGGGTGTTTTGCCTGCATGTATGTCTGTGCACCGCCTGCATGCAGTGCCTGGGAAGGCCAGAAGAGGGAGCATGTGAGATCACATTGACCTGTTCTAACAGATGGCATCACTGCCCTGTGCTAGGATGGACTCTTCTTCTGGAAGGGTAGTCATTGCCCTTAACCACTGAGCTGTCTCTCCACCTGGATGTGTAGTTCTGTCAACTGCATACCAAGGTCCAGGAGTCAATCCTCAGTAGCAGGGGAATACCCACACTCACATTAAGATAAAGGCAGATTTGATTATATCAATAGCACACACTTGTACATAGAAGAGACCAGGAACAAAGTTGACATATGAATGAAAGGTTGAGAGGAAAAATTTTCAACATCTAAGCCCGGCAGGTAGTATTTTTAAAAATCAGGTCTAGTGAGATGGCTCAGTAGGGCCTGGGGGCCTGAGGACTGAGTTAGTCCTCAGGACCCACATAGTGAGAGGAGAGAACTAATGTTCTGTTTTGTTTTGCTTTTTGTTTTTTGAGAAAGGGTTCCTCTGTAGCTTTGGAGCCTGTCCTGGAACTTACTCTGTAGACCAGGCTGACCATGAACAAGAACTAACTCTTAAAAGTTTCTGTCCTCTGACCTCCGCTCAGCAATTGAGATCTACACATCAAACACACTATTTATCGAATTTAACAGCAATTGATAACAGTAGGGTGGGGGAAGGTCACAACCCCCCCCCACCCTTCTTCATTCATCTCTAGGTCACTGCAAGGCCCTGTAGCCAAAGACAGATGATTTAACCTAAGTTTCAAAGTAGAGGCTCTGTTGAGCCTCCTTTTATTGCTACACACACACACACACACATACACACACACACACACACACACACACGAAATTTACATGCCCCGCCCACCACCTTACAAAAACAAAAGTCACTCTAGTGATGAGGGACCAGTTTCCCAAGTTGTGGAACTGTCACTGTAGTTCTGTTTCCGGGAATTTCCAACAGTCTAGTGAGATTCCACATCACTCTTTCCAGCTAGCCCCCTTGTCTGGAAGCCAACCCTTAACCGGCTCTCCACAGCTTTTGCCTTTTCTGGACGGGTCAGATAAATGTAGTCATACCTCATGCAGTCTTTGGATCTGGCTTCCTTCACGTAGCATGACATTTTTGAGAGGATCTTTCTATTTTTATGCACACTTTGTTTTCTTCTGGGGCTCCTGGGACTAGTCAGCGCATTCTGACTCTCTGCCTACCCGGTATAGCTGCACAGACTTCAGCGGGTCCTGCTGAACCCAGTGACAGACCTACCCTTTGGCTCATTCACAGGCTGACTCAACGAGAGCAGTTTTGCGTGACATTTCTTTCTTTTAAGGATGAAATTTCTCCACACTCATTCCGTGACTGAAACAATCGAAACCGGGACAGCCTTTATTCAGGGAGCCCTTTGCGCGAATCCCCCGGGCATCGCATTCACTCTCCAGCCGGCTTTCCTAGTGGGAAACTGCACTTTCGCGCGCGGTTCCCGTGATATTTTCGAACAGAGTTTGGAAGAAGGGGAGCAGCAGTCTAAATGCTTTCTCGAGGTGAGGGTGCCCTAGTGTGAGACTCACTTGGTCATGGGGAGGATCACCATCAGAGGCCCTGCAGCTGCTCAGCCCGCAGCACTGTGCGCTAGAAACCACGTACTGATACCAAGGAAAGGCGCTGTGCAATCTGCAGGATACCAGCAGCTAAGGTAGAGCGACCAGGGTCCCGCCGCCAGGATGGAGAAGTACGGTTTCCGAGATGTCTCGGGTTTTATCTCTATTGGGGCTTTTTAGTATTATTATGGGGGGGGGGACTAGAAAGTGTTACTTAACAAGGAATATATCTGCTCTACCCCGAAGCCTAATAGGTCCTAAAGGGGCTCTTATTTCTTGTCCTGAGCCCTGGCCCTCTGTGGCTGGCTGGGGCGGGGAAAGGCCCCCATTTGGGGGGGGGGTGTAGGGGGCGCCGCCGCGGGGGCTCTGCCTTCTGTGCTCTTAGAGGAAGCACCGCGCTTGGGACCCGCGTAGAAAGCGGGGTGAAGGCAACCTGGGACTCCCGTGAACCCTGGCGCGAGGAGCACCGAGGACCCGCGTGAACCACGGGGAGAGGGGCGCAAACTCCCGCGCGGAAAAAGGGCGAGCCAGGCCGCTGTAGGGACATTCTACGCGCTGAAGCACCAGCTTGGGACCGACGACGGTCGCAGGGCTCCAGCAGGACCCCGAAGGTTTGGGGTTCCGGGAGGCGCAGCTGGCCCGCGGGCAGGCCATCCGGTGGACTACAGTCTCCAGAGTGCCCCGCGGCGCAGGCGGAGCCGGGAGCTCCCGCAGCCAATTGAGGGGTCTCGGGGCGCCACGGAGCAGGTGGAGCCGGCAGGGACCGGCACGCGCGCGGGTGCGGGGCGTTCTGCGGGCGGGTCCAGGAGGGGGCGGGGCGGGGCGGAGCGGGGCGGGCCACTGTTCCGGCAGCTCCCGGCAGCCGCGGACGCACTCGACCCGCGCTGCGCCGCTGGGAGGAGGGCGGCTTTGCGAAGCCGCAAGTCCTCCCGCCGCGCTCCGGACCCAGCATGGCTTTCGCCAATTTCCGCCGCATCTTGCGCTTATCCAACTTCGAGAAGAGAAAGTCCCGTGAATATGAGCACGTCCGCCGGGACCTGGACCCCAACGACGTCTGGGAGATTGTGGGCGAGCTGGGCGATGGCGCCTTCGGCAAAGTCTACAAGGTGAGGGTCCCGATGGCTGCGCCTGCCTGGCCCTGCGAGCCCCTGACACCCGCGCAGCTGCTTCTGAGCACTTCCTGTGTGCCCGCTCTGGACACAAAGGGATGTTTGTAGGACCTCAACATCCCAGGGGGCTACCCGAGGCACCCTCGGGAACACGGTGATAGTAACACATCTTTTAAAGCGGGGCTACACCGATGTTGCGGGAATGTTAAGGCTCAGGGCTGTACCTGGGAGGGTTGGGACACTCCTGAAGATGAACCTAAGATAGGGACTCGGGAGGACAGAGGGGCCTTGAAGTGAACGAGGACAGGCTGCGGCTGGAGAGCTCAACGGAAGGCAAGGACAGGGTCCTGTGACTGCAGCTGCAGGGCACAGATTTAGCTTCTGGACTCCTGAGTCACCGGAGGCTCCCTGTATGCAGTTACCTCTCCCCTGGAGGAAGACAGGGCAGAGGCTATGCGGAGGAGTGGGTGGGGCAGACATGATTCCATTTAGACACGTGTGCAGACGGACAGCTCCTGGGGTTTGGTTTTCTGAGCAAGTCCTGAGTGCCTGGGTTGTTGTTTAAGCACCTAACTCGTACATCTTGACTCCACCCTTTCTTTCTCATTTCCTCCAGAAAAAGTCCACCCCCCCCCAACCCCCATGATGGAGTCTTGTTATGTTGTTCAGGCTGGTCTTACAACTTGAGATCAGCTTTCCTCTGGAGTAACTTGGACTGTAGGCTTGGCCACTGCAGTCTGGCATCCCCTATTTTTATTAGGAGATTCTGATTAGCTGCTTTTAACTGCCCACCTAAGCTGTAAGTCACTGTCTTTGGGTCTTCTGTAGTTAGAGGGCTCATTCATCCTAGTTTCAGGATGCTGGACCATAGAAAGGGTTTCTCCAGCTTCCAAGTAGGGGCTTGCTCACTTTGACTTGAAATTGGTCTGCTAGAGCCTAATTGCTGAAATGTGCGCCTTAGGAGAGGCACATTAGCATCATTGGGAAGCTTGTTAGAAACTAAGACTCTCAGCTGGGTGTGGTGGCACACACCTTTGATCCCAGCAGAGACAGGCAGATCCCTGACTGAGTTCGAGGCCAACCTGGTCTACAGAGTGAGTTCCAGGACAGCCAGGGATACACAGAGAAACCCTGTCTAGAGGAAACAAAAAGAAAGAAACTAAGACTCTCAGGCCCCACTCAGCACTTCAGAGTGCCCCAGAGGCTTGGAGCAGTGGCAGTTTGGAGGAGAGTCAGACCCATGGAGACCTCCTCGCTGAGCTGCACTTCCTGTTAGAGCTGAGGAACCTCACTAGAGCAAAGTTCCCCAGTGGGAGGGTCAGGCAGAGGTCATTTTGTCTAGCTGAGTGGATTTGCTGCCCTTGGCTGAGGGGTTTGCCCTTGTTTGAGGGCTACCAGGCCAGCCCATCCTTTCTTCGGTCCTCGCGTCGCGTCCTCTCTTCTGCTGCATTCTTCTAGTGACATTAGGAAGTAGTTCCCAGCCTCTCAGGTCTCTCTGCTGTCTGCTCCTGCAGAGATGTCCTGAGCATTGTCAGGCCCCTGGCTTAGGTCAGCCTCACCACTTGACTCACCATCTCTATTGTCCAGCTGATTTCTAGTTCATGCCCTGGGTTCTCTGTATTTTTTTTTTCTCTGTTAAAGACTTTTGGTCACCTTGTGTAGCTACTATGTGATGCTCTCTGTCTATCGTTACTTTAAAATACACTTTAACTTTTTAAGGTTCCCTGTAAAGTGTCCTTCTATGCTGGCAGAGCTTCATCTGTCTCTAGTTGGCCTTTCGTCCCCAAGTGTCCTGTTCTGGCTTTATGTGGTTGATGTTTATTTAAACTCAAATGTAGAACTTTGCTTTCCAGAGGCTAAGAGTCTCCCTTGTCATTTCTGCTTGCTGGGTAAAACTCCACTGTTCTCAGTCAGTTCTAACTAAGGGAGTGCTCTGATCACTCGGTGTTTTGTTGCTTCTTTGTTCTCCAAAGCATGTAAATCCATTTGAAGAGTGACCCTAGATCCCAAGGCTGGGAGATGGCTCCATGTCAAGATAAGGGAAAGGGAGATCAAGAGCATCATGTGGCAGCTAGTACACCTGGACTGTTTGTCACGGTTGGTGATGGGTTGCATAGACAAAGATGGTCCCGTGAGACTAAAGGAACTGGAGCACTCCTGTTACCCAGTGCCATCCATACCTTACATTCGACACATTCCTCAAGAGCTTGCGGTGATGCTGACATGAGCAAACCTGTGCCTCATGCATATAGAAATGTAGCAATTAGAGTGACTTACAGCACCAGATACTTGATGAGGATAACAAGTGACTGTCACTGTAGTGTACGTGCTATGTGATGCGCTCTGTTACTTCAGAGCATACTCCAGCTTTTTAAAAGTTTCCTCTAAAGTATCCTGCTAGTCTGGCATCAACCTCATCTGTCTCTAGTATGCCCTGTCTCTTGATTAAGTATCACTTCATGTTGTGTTTAAGGTTTTTTTGTTTTTGTTTTTTTGGTGTGTGTGTGTGTGTGTGTGTGTGTGTGTGTGTGTGTGTGTGTGTGTATGCACATGTGCCCACATATGTGCTGGTGCCCATGCACTTGTGTACATGTGTGTGGAGGATAGAGATCAACACTGGGTTTCTTCCTCAATTACCCTCCACCGGGTCTTTTTTAGACAGGGTCTTTACTGGACCTGATTTAGCTAGATTGGCCAGCAAGCCCCAGGGATCTTCATGCCTCTGCCTCCCCAGCTTTGGGGTTACAGGCTTTGAACTCCCACACCTGACTTTTTCATGTGGGTGTTGGGATATGGATTCAAGGCTCTTTCTTGTGCAGCATGTCCTTAATTTCATTCCGTTTTATTCAGTATGGCGTTGGATACAATACTAGTGCCGTGTGTATGTGATATGTACATAGACACACTGTGGTGCCCAGGTGAAGGAATCCATGCCACTGTGTGTGTGTGTGTGTGTGAGGGTTGTGTAGATACCTGCTTTACCTCCTGCAATGATGAAATCACCTGATGAGGCATTTGTCAGACTGTGTCCCCATTATTGAGTGACACATGTCTGTGTTGCCTCCATGACCTTAGTGTATGACATGCCATTCTAACTAAGGTTTGTGTATGTGTGATTACCAGATTCCAGAGTGTGGAAGGGACTAGAACCCACAATGCGAGGCTTTACTTAATACTTTTTTCTCAGTGTCCAATTCAGGAGGAAGATATTCCCTACTCACAGTGCCTTGTCACCAGCCTGCCTATCCTGCAGAGCTACTGCTTTCCTTGGCCCCGCCCAGAGCACTCACATAGGTCTTTTTTCTTTCCTTTTCTTTCCTTTCCTTTCTTTTCTTCTCTCTCTCTCTCTCTCTTTCTCTCTCTCTCTCTCTCTCTTTCTCTCTCCCTCTCTCTCTCTCTCTCTCTCTCTTTAACTAAGATTCTCTAATCAAGGGCCATGACCTCTATCTACTTCCTGGTTCTTTGGTCTGGTCACTGAGGCAGTATGAGACAGAAATTCCATCTTGGTTAAATGGCTGGGACCAGTTATTACCAGTTGCCATGGCGCTGGGAAGCAGTTGGGCATGGGTGGAGAGAGACGCCCATTCCACCCCCATCCTCTAATAGGCTGAGCTTCTCTCCACAGACTCTGTGGTAGGGACCTTCTTGGGGCTTCCCTAGCCTATGAAGTCTTAGGAGGCTCAGTTCCTCAGGATGGTGAAGACAGAATTCCCATGGACCCATGGAGTGGGAGCATTCACAGCCTCCTCAAGACAGGGAGCCCCTTTCTCCTCAGCTCTCTGATTAGCTCAGAGACAGAGGATTGGTTGAGTTCAACATCAAGGCCATTGCCACATTTCCGTGTGATAGAAAGTTGGTTCTGAAAGAAAATAATTTCTACTTCATTACTTAAATTCAACATAAGGCTTCTGGATGGGATGTTTTGTGTTCTTACCAGAACAATCACCTTCTCTAAGGTGGGGTAGGGAGGAGAGGAAGTGTTTAGTCTCTGTGGTAGAAAGTGCTGCCCTCAGCAGAGTCTGATATGGAGCTAATCCTATGTTTTGAGGGGTAGAAGAGTATAGGCCTGAAAGGGCCAGGCTAGTGGTTGAAGTGACTTCTTCACTTTCTGGAGATTGCTTTGGCTTTGAGTGTTTGTATTTAAGCTTCTAAAAGGTTAATTTGTAGCCAGGTGGTACTGGCACACGCCTTTAATCCCAACACTTGGGAGGCAGAGGCAGACAGATCTCTGAGTTCAGGCCAGCTTGGTCTATACTAAGAGTTCCGGGATAGCCAGGGCTACACAGAGAAACCCTGTCTGGAAAAACCAAACCAAACCAAACAAACAAACAAACAAAAAGGTTAATTTGTAAAATCAAGATGGTGAGAGGGGGAGTAAAAGAACTAAAAAGAAAAGAAAGTCACCTAAGCCCCATAGATCACTGTCTTTATATTCTTTGGTGTTGGATCCAGGTTCTTGTGCACAATGGGCGAACATCCACTGATCTGTGTCCTCAGCCTGGACTTTTGTGTCTGTTTTTGGTTTTTTTGAAAGATGATCTTACTGACTATGCTTCCCAGGTAGGCCTCCAACTCCTTTGTGGTCTCAAGGAGTCTTCCTTTCTCAGTCCCTTATGTGGCTGGTAGTACAGGCATGGGCCATCGTGCCTGGCTGTCTTTTCACATTTCATTTATTTATTTGTTTGTTTTTATTTATATTGAGATAGGTTTCTTGGGTAGCCTTGGCTGTCCTGGAACTTACTCTATAAATCAGACTGGGCTTGAACTCACAGAGATCTGCCTGTTTCTTCCTCCCGAGTACTTGGATTAAAGGTGTAAACCACCACCACCAGTTTTATTTTATTTTCAAACTAACTAATTGAAATTGATCAGTTCTTGTCCCGTCAGGTATGTAGTGGGAACTTTACATATTCTGTAATGTAAGACACATGTCCTCAGAAGCACAGATCTGTGCAGGTTGACCTGGTGCCGGTAGCAAATCCATAATATGACAATAA